GAGTTCCCTCTAAGGGGAACCCCCAAAACATCAGTAAGTGACATCACCAACGACCTCCACAGTGCAGGGGTGAAGGTTTCACAATGCACTGTTGGAAGAAGACTCAGAGAGCAGAAATATAGAGGCCACACCACAAGATGCAAACCACTCATCAGCTGTAAGAATCGGAAGGCCAGATTGAAATTTGCAAAGAAGTACAGAGATGAGCCGCACAAGTTCTGCAACACAATCTTATCGACTGAGACCAACATTAATCTGTACCAAAGTGATGGAAAGGCCAAAGTGTGGAGAAAGTAAGGAACTGCTTATGATCCGAAGCATACAAGCTCATCTGTGAAGCATGGTGGAGGTGATGTCATGGCTTGGCCGTGCATGGCGGCTTCTGTAACAGGCTCATTAATATTTATTGATGATGTAACTGATGATGGTAGCAGCTGAATGAATTCAGAAGTGGACAGAAACATTTTGTCTGCCAATTTATGGAGAAATGCATTGAAACTAATGGGGAGGAAGTTTATCATGCAGCAGGACAATGAACCAAAGCACACTGCCAACAAAACAAAAGACTTCATCAGGGGAAGAAGTGGAAGGTTTTAGACTGGCCAAGTCAATCACCTGACCTGAACCCAGCATGCATAACACCCCGAAACAAACAAGCTGCGATAAAAGCCTGGAATAGCATCACAAATGAAGAATGTAACAGTTTGGTGATGTCGATGGGTCGCAGGCTTGAGGCAGTTATTGCAAGCAAGGGTTATACCACCAAATATTAAATGTTATTTGCTTTAAGATTATTTGTTCCATTACTTTTGCTCACTTGAAAAATGGGTGGGTTCAAACAAAGGGTGTTATGTCCTGAGTTGTTTAACACATCTAGATGTGAAAACCAGGAAATAAAAGCTGAAACTCTTAACTCTTGTCTCATACTCATCTTTTGATCTTGAACCCAAATGTCTTCAGTGAAAAACAAAGGAATTTGCCTTACTGTTCCAATACTTTTGGAGGGGACTGTATATCAACATAGGAAATGCTCAGTTGAAATAAAATTTAAAAAGCGGATACATACTGGAGTGTTGCACTGAGAGCAGCTGAGCGTACGGCTCAGAAAGAACAGAAGAAGAAAAGTATTGCGCGGGAACGTAAAAGTAGTCCTCAAAAAATTCCTCTTGTGAGCCTTCAGAGCCACCGTATGTGAGCCCTGCAACAAACACACTGTTTACTTTAAAAATGTAAAAATTCATATCACAGTATCTGTCAAAATAAACCCAGTATGATTTTTTGCTCTAAGAACTAATTTAACTATTTTGTTTCCTTCCAGGTCACTCTCAGTTAATTGGTTCTCCTCAGCCAATAGTGGCAAAAGTTGCAGATGACATCATCTTGCCATGTCATTTGCAGCCTGCAGTGGATGTTGCTGCCAAGACTATTGAGTGGGCAAGACCAGACCTGGACCCCAGATTTGTGTATGTGTGGCGTGCTGGTCAGGAACTCCATCCTCCAAAAAATCCATCCTACAAAGAAAGAACAACTCTGTTCACTGAAGAACTGAAGCACGGAAACATTTCACTGAAACTCTCCAAAGTGAAACTTTCTGATGAGGGGAGATACAAATGTTACATTCCAGATATGAACACAGACGCCTCCGTTGAGCTTGTTGTTGGTGAGTAGATACATGATGTATGTGTAGTGCAGTTTGGTGTGTAGTCTGTGCAGCGTATCCAGTGAATAACTGAGGTAGGATCAAAACAGCTTTCAGCCATTCATGTTGGGACATGAAGAGTTGAACTACAGCCATCAAACACCAGTTTAACGGTTACATGTTCTTGGTGGCAGCAGATTTACCACTGAAAATTATTAGTAATGTGTGGTCCAACTGGTCCTTATTTTTTCTTTAATTTACATAAAAGCTGAAAAAAAAGCAGATGTTTAGCAGGTTTACATTTTACCTTGTTGTAGTTCAATGTGTTAACATGTTAACATTTGATCATTTGGACCAAACACAAAGTGCAGCTGAGGCTGGAATCTCATTAGTTTTGCAAATATTTACCAAAGAATTGGACACAATGAAATGTTGTAGATTTACATTTATACATCTTTTTTTATTATTAATGCAGTCTTTGTAAAACTGACCTGTATTTTAATTGTTCCTCTTGCTCAACATCAGGGGCCGTCTCCTCACCTGTCATCAGTTTAGCAGGGATTGACAGACACAAAGGGGGAGTGGTGTTACAGTGTGAGTCTACAGGCTGGTATCCAGAGCCTGAGGTGTTTTGGCTGGACGGTGAGGGAAACCTCCTCTCTGCTGGACCTACAGAGACAGTCAGAGGTCCTGATGACCTCTATACTGTCAGCAGCAGAGTGACTGTGGAGAAGAGACACAGCAACAGCTTCACCTGTAGAGTCCAACAGAAGAATATCAACCAGACCAGAGACACTCACATCCAGGTTCCAGGTAGAAATGATTGATGATGTGATCAATGTTTTAGTTTCAAATAGCTGAAGTCTAGTGTTCAATAAACACCATGTTATTTTGTGTTTTATTGTTTCAGATGATTTCTTTGAGGTCCAGTTCAGTTTGTCCCCCATCACGGTTGGATTGGCTGTTTGTTTGGCTGCTTGCATCATGATCATTTTGTTACTTATCTTTTTTTCTGTGTGCAAATGGAGACAGAACAGAATCAGTGAGTTGCAACTTAATTACAGATTAATGGGACATAGTAATGTGATTAATTGTGTAAATTTAATTTGATCGAAATGTCAGTATTTTTAACATATGTGGTGTTTTTTCTACTTTTATTTACACGTCATTGTCAGGTGTCTTATTTTTGTAGCCCATTAACACCTGATTTTAGACTCATATGCTGTGATGCAAGGACATGACTTTAATTCTACTGCCTGTATTTTCACACAGAGAGCAAGAGAAGCCACAGGAATGAAATGGATAAAGGAGAACAGAAGGAGCGCTTTAAAAGTAACAAACCTGAAGATCAGATTGAAGCAGAAAGAGAGCAGCTCATGATAAATGAAACAGTGACAATGAAGAGTGTGAAGGACAAGAAAGGGGAAAGGGAGACCAAACATGTAAGTACATAAACAGGACATAACATTCAAAGCAAAAGCTCCTCATCAACAGAGAGGCAAACAAGTGCTCCGCGAGGTAACCATGGCAACGGCTTCTGTGTAATTGGCGCGATCCTGTGAAACTGGCCCGCCCGCTGCCAGAGTTGAAATGCATTACATTTTATCAATACACAAAACAACCTTTGCTGCTTTAACTTCCACTGAACTAATTTGAAAGTTAGTAGTTATATTATTTAGTTATAGACTCAATTATTTCATGTTGCATGTTGCACATGTAGCTGTTGAAGTTTGGTAAAAAAAATAATACAAAATAATAATTTTTAAAGGGAGGTTGCGATGGAACAGTGGATCAGAAATTTGTCTTTGATTCCCACTGCAACACATCCACCAAATAAGTTATTGTCATGGCTCCTGCTTTACCATCCATGTTATAATAGAGCCGCCGCCAGTTTTATCAAGGTGTGGGGGGGTCTCAGTATATTTTCCTGCTTTTTTGCCCCAATCGCATACCTGATTAAAACAACACAACAATTAACGAGGTAGAGAGGCAAGAAACAAATGCAATGCTGTTGAAATTTATCAATTGCAAATTCTAATAAAATATATATGCCTAAAATCATGTCTGGATTCTTGTCCCTGTTTCTGTCTCTCCTCTCTTTCAGTTTAAGGAGCAGCAGCTGCAGGAGGAGCAGCAGAGGAGGGATGAAGCTGAGAAAAGAGTTCAGACACTGAAAGATGAGCTGGAGACCAAGAGGAATGAGGTTCATCTTTAGTTTAATAATATAATACATTGATTATAGTATGAAGTCACATTTTTATGTCACAGTAGTCTTATTTGTGTTTTTTGTTACAGATATTAATTTATAGTGTAAAGTATTAAATGTTAGTAAAAAGAACATTTGTCTCTTCTCCTCTCTTTAAAACTTCTCGCTGTCCTTCCAGGTTGAAACCAAACAAGCTGAGCTGCAGCAGCTCCAAGAAGAGAAGCAGAGGAAGGAGAACGACCTGCAGACTGTGAAGGAAGAGCTGGAGAACAATGAGGTTCATGTCTTAATCTTAATCTTTCTGTATTTACTGTGTCACAGCCCAGACTCAGTGAGCCACACAAAGAGGGAGAATACACACCATCAGAAACTTAAGTTCATTGTAAGTCAGTGGTGGTTGTTGTGTTGAGTGGATGTTCGGTGTTGTGAAGGCAACAAAGAGAGAATGAGGAGTCAGCCTAACTACTAAATGGCTCCTTTCATCAGTGAGCAGGAGGAGCAGTGACAGCCAGCCAGTTATATCTGTCGGGGGGAAACAGGATGAATCGTCTCCCCATTAAGAAAGACACTGTGTGCATTTACGCACGAGGTGCAGCAGCATAACCTCATTAATCATTTTAATCTCCCGACGCTCCGACAGGATCGATCAGGATGAACTGACAGCAGCCTCTCTAATCATGGAAGTAATTCGTTAAAGCACAAACACATATAGAAATCTATTTACGCACGATCCATCAGGGGAGCTAACGTCTTGTTAAGAGGAGTCGAGCTCACCCTGCCTACAATCTCCACCGCTGGATTACAGCAACAAGAAATAATGTTGCTCTTTTACTCATGGATTTGTTTTTCTGCTGTTTGATGTTTCTCAGTGTTGGTGAATTATTAAAAAACACCCATTACTTTTGGGTTAAAATGTGTTGTAACGCACGTTACTGAGATGGTAACGGGTATAATATTATTGATTCTCTTTTAGTAATGAGTTATATTACTGTGTTACAGCAATAAGTAATACATTGCTGTAACTGCGTTACTTTTATAACTGTGTTACTCACTTGAAACAAAACTATCCAGGAAACTTTGCCAATGAAATGCAAAATTTCTTCTACATGAGAGCTGAGATTTTTCACTTGTTATTCAGCAAAAGTCATGATGCTTCTTTTTTGAAAGATGGGTGATTGTATAATATGTTCAGTCATCTGTCAGACAGAAGCTGAGTTGAAGACACTGAAGTCAAAGCTGGAGACCCTGGAAATGGAATTAAACACTAAAATCAAAAAGGTTTGTATTTGTATCTTTTCGTCAACAGATTTGGTTTCAGCCACCTACTGGTTTGTTTTCAGTTTAGCTTCTCTGTCTGGGTCAGGAACAGGTCGAAGAGGGTTTGAGACTGGAATGATTTTTATCCTTTTTAAGAGTGCTGTGATTTCCAGTTAGAAACAAAATGACTCTGGGGCTGTATAAACAGTGGAGGACACAAACAGGTGGCTTCATTCAAATGAGTATCTGCTGCCAGTTTGTCGTCGCTGTTAAAACAGCAGTGATTATGGAGAAATGCTTTAATCCATTTAGATTACACGCTGTCCAACCAGTAGATGCATTTTGTAACGATAGAGAACATCAGTAAATCAGTCTGTGCTAAAGATTATTAGCAGTGACTCACAGTGTGTCCACCAGGCTGCCAAAAAGCAACCACAGCCTCGTCTGCACAGGCTCTCAGGCTGGTCAGGTGTGATTCAGTATTCAGTTTATACAGATGCTGGATTACTGGGGCTCATTATTCCTGTGCACCAGGGCCTCCTTTCAACTTCTCTGGCTAAAGTGTTGTTTTAATGTTTTATTCTCTAGATGCATTTTAAATTCTTATTTGATATGATAAAGAACTTAAACTCACAGGATTGAATTTATGTAGAAATCACATTTTCAATCCAAATCAAAGTGTGTTGTTTTTATTGTACCCCCACATTATATATGGAGCCCAGCTGCTACCAAAACAGCAGGAGTGCTTTTCACCCAGTCTGTGCACCGAGGGAGTCACTTACTTCAGAAACTTTCCAATTAGACGCACAAATAAAACCATGATATAGGTTTTATAGTTTTTCTGTTACTGTTGACATGTTGCAGTACATTAACTCAGATATACATTCATAGTTAAACATGTCTCTCATATTGTGTCCTCTTCTCGTTCCTCCCAGTTTGAAGACAAACAAGATGAAGTCCAGCAGCTCCAGGATCAGATTCAGAGGACGGAGACCATCCTGCAGACAGAGGAGGTTCATTATTCTACTGAACTAAAAGTATCAGAGTATCCAAATATTTATAGAGATATTTGGTATCAGTGTCAATGCTCAGACATTCAGCAACACTCATCATCATCATGTGTTGAACATTCAGACCTTAAACCTGAAGGTGTAACGGTGGGAGACAGAACGGACCCAAACGCAACGCTGAGGGTTAGAAAAGAGGTTTATTGAGGAGAAGGGGGTTCGAGGCGAGGGTGGGTGGAAGGAGTGGGTGAGGCTGACGAGGACACGGGGAACCGAGAAGCTGGAGGAACGGAGGGCACTTAGGCTGGAGGCTTGAGGGAGGCTGGCAGATGGATAAGAGAGGGCGCGGAGACTGGGGGTCCAGGCGGGGTGCGAGAGGGGAAGTCGGAGGGCGTTGTGGAGGCGGCGAGAGGAGGAGGAGGCAGGCGAGCGAGCCCGGCTGGCCGAGGTGAGTGAACCTGGCAGGGGGAAACAGAGAGACAGGGTTAGTAGGCAATGGGGACGTGAAGCAAGAGAGAATTTTAGAAAGCGCCAGAACGAAGCGGCGACACCAGGTCTGGAGCTGCAACGATCGAGCGAGGATGGTGTGGAAAGTCGGGGTAGATATACTGGTTGTGATGAGGCTGATGGCTGGCAGGTGCGGCGGCTGGGGATGGAGGTTAACGAGGTGCAGGTGTGGGTAGCCAGCCGGGCTCCGGAGCAGGGAGGGAGAGAGCACACACACAGAGAGAGAGAGGGCACAGGAGAAACCAGAATGTGAGGGAAAGGAGAAACAGGACACTCACCAACAGCCGGGCTGCCACCGCGTCAGGAGGTGCTCTGTGGAGTTTCCTTGTGAATAACAGAAGTTATATTTACATTCAGTGTTACTCACCAAAACACATTGTGTGTGTTTGAGGTCTAAATTTAATTTCACTCAAGTATTTTAAATCCAAAATTGTGAACATCCATGTTTACTACAGCAGTTTCTACACAAATGCTGTCATGAATATTGGATTAACATTCATAAGGTGATACAAACTTAACATGTAACTGCAGGACATGTAAAAGAGAATCTCTTTAACAATTCACTACATCACCTTTAATATTTTGTTCACAACTTGTTTCTGCTGCCTCTCAGTGGCTAAAGGTGCAAAAGAACTGTGACTTTGCTCCATCTATAAAACTAGAAACCTGCTGCTTTTCTTTAACATGAACAGTTAAAAATGCTGCACACGTCAGACCATGAAGTACCTTCCTGTCATGTTTTATTGTTTATAACTCACATACATTAATTGTGAAATTAAAAGTGAAAAGTTCTCTCATCTTCTGTCGTTATCTTCCCTCTCCTCTTAGCTGGAAAGACTGACAGCTGAAGTCCAGAAGCTCAAAGAGGAGAAGCAGAGGAGTCAGAATGATCTGGAGACCAGGACAAAAGAGGTTCATCTTTCATTGATACTGATTTGTTTCCACAAACCTATTTGTTTGTTTTTAGTTTTAAATCTCACAGTTTCTGTTTTATTTTATCTGGTCAGAGGGAAGAGAACAGAAAAGGTGTGTTTAAATACTTTGTGTGCTAAAATCAGGTGTGTTTGAGGCGAAGTCTTTGTTCCTGAACCGAGTTATTAAACTTCAATAATTGTAATCATTTCTAAACAAGTATTAATTGTGGAATTAATTCAACATTCAGTTTATTTGCACAATTTTATTGGTCAGTTTATGTTGTCATGGTACTCCCCTCCCTTGTCTCCGGGCGTTATTAGAATATCCAGCAGGTTGTCGGGGTCACGTAGGATCAGGATTGGTTATTGGCAGAATATCAGAGATATTCTAGAAATATTAATTTAATTATTAATATTAAAATGTATTAATTATCATTAATAAATGCGTGTCACCACCCTGGAATCAGGAACAAATAACCAAATATGAAATCAGTCTAAAAGGATTTGTTCACCTATAAATTGTCAATAATCAAACATTATCATTCAATGATCGGTGAGTTTGAAGAGTGAGTCCGTACACTGGCCGTCACAACCAACTGATGTCACAATATTCAATAACCACAAAACTTCTTAAAAGTATAACAGGATTTATTTATCATAAAGCAAATAAAAACTATTATCTAATCTAAGTCAAACAATCAGACATACAACAATCAACAAATGAGAAGGGAGTGTGTTGAGATGAGAGGGTGTGAGTGTGCGTGACCGGAAAGGGGAAGAGAGAGAGGGAAGTGGGGTGTGTACCCACGTGTGTGAGGGGTTGTCCAACACCAGGTCCAAAATGGCGGCTATTCTCTCAGTAGGTTATGCAGAACTACAAAAATGGCGGCGTACCAGTCATGTGGCGAGTGAGCGTGTGATTACTTCAAGGAAAGCAGGTAAAACAGTGAGATGGTACAAGATAATGTCTGTGGGTTTAATTATCACGGTGAATTACAACGTAACTACACCCTGCCACACAGCATGCACAATGAGTTTTCCTCAATGGGCGGATGCTGACTTTGCTTTGGACAGAGATTAGCAATTGTGTACAGACGTGAAAATAAAGCACAGCAGTATCACAAGTACAAATTCAGGCTGTGTAATGGTGTCCTAACTACCGATTATCAACGAGAGTGTTCACTGGCCTATGCTCGGCCTTTAACTCTGATAAAGGATATGGTCAGCTGACTTAAGTGGCCTGGATGATGTTAACACAGCTGCTTGAGCACGTAAACACAGCAATATCTAGCAGCGGGCCATAAATCCACAATCAACATGAAGCTCAGCGCATAACCAACACAATAATGTCTAACGTTATCTCTCTGCCCAGAAACTTTAGTTAAGCCTCTTATTCAGTTCGCTCTTGGTAGCGACGATGAAAACACCAGTTCTCAATGGGAATGTGTCCATCTGAGGTATTTCTAGGATCGGATCCTGGCGAGGCCGAGATTCCGCTCGGTAGCGGGTTCACGGCGACTATTCCAGCTGCAGCAGCGGGTGGAAACAGTCAATTAACAGGAAGCCTGGTTATCTTCTTCCCAATTAAGCACAGAGTTTTAGTTATCCATCTTCTTCTGTGGGTAATGATCCTTTGTTAAACAACAAGACGACGCTGAAGTCAGCAAGCGATTCGCAGCTTCCGATTCGGCAGTTAAGGGAAACTTACATTGCTGAGCGATTCTCCGTTTTCTGCACCTCTTACTGCTGTGAAAGCTGTTATGCATTTTAGGCAAATTAAGCCTAAACGCTGTCTGAAACACTTTTTTTTAGATCTGAAAAAAGTGCAATTTCACTGCATTTCTTCACATGCAGACCACATTAGACCAGGTCCAGATCCAAAACCACTTTACCTAGAGATCTTAAATCTGGACTAGATTGTCCCAGAGAGGCTAAAGTTTCTTTTAAACACAGTTTCAGATTTGTGAAACCTTAATTCAGTTTGTGAAAATACTTCCATGAAACTTCCATGAAGTAAACCTGGTTGGCCGCGCAAAACAGCCGATCTCATGTCCTGCTACTTGTGATGCATTCAGGCAGCGTCAGCAGAATGGACGCAACCACAAAAACACATCGGGCCATCGGGCCGTAATTATAATAATTATTGACCCTACTGTAAATTCGGCAAATGTAATGCCTGAGGTTATTCCTTTCTGTGTAGATGGTGTCAGTTTGTCCCGGTGTGTTGCAGAACTGTCTGTAAACTGCTCAGTCACTAAACAGCAGATCAGCTGCTGAGATCAGGACTTGATGAACTTTCTGTTGCTGCAGCAGAAACGTTCATTAAAAGATGCATTTTTGAAAGCAGTATTTATTTTATTGTCCTGACTGTTAATTAGCACATGGCTAATGGTAGGGAACATGGTAATGTAATGTTACATGCCATTACAGTAGTCAATGCATTTATAGCTGTAAGTGTTTAACTATGTGTTAAATATGTTCTTATTTATTTGCATAATAAAGGCTCTGGAATTTGACAGACTCAGAGAATCAAAACGCAAGATAATTACAGAGTTTACTATTTCAACAGGGAAACACAAGACAGCAACAGTTTAAACAGTTAGGGCCCGTGTCCACCAAAGTGTTTTTTGCCAGCTGAAAACACCCAGCAGGAAGCGCTAGCGGACGTTTTGAGGTGTAGCGTTTTTTTCCGACTCCTTTGGTTGCTATGGTACATAAAATCCGAGGAAGTGATTACATTTATTCATTTAGCTGACGCTTTTATGCAAAGCGACTTACAATTGCTATACATGTCAGAGGTCGTAATCCTCTGAAGCAACAAGGGGTTAAGTGTCTTGTTCAGGGACACAATGGTGGATGTCTCACAGTGGGAATCGAACCCAGGTCTCCCATCTTATCTATGCACCACCAGCCCTTTTGGTGTGAAGTGATGTTGCAAGTAGTTCTACCTGACTTTACTGGATGTAAAAATGTCAACACAGAGTAGAGTAGCCAACTTGCTCTGTATGAAGACAAAGCTAGAGAAAGAGGACGGACTCGCCGTATGTGGGTTCGGCGAGTACCACCGTTTAGTCCATGAGCTGAGGCTGGACGAAGCCAGTTCCAGGATAGTAACCGTTGCTATGGTGTGGTATTTGTCCCGCCCTCCTCTATTGTGATTGGACAGCTGGGTAAAAAGTGACAGTGACGAGCGCAGCGTTTTCCCCAAAGGTGAACATTTTTCAACTCTCGGCGACCAGAAAACAACGATCAGCGCCTCATCACTCTGCTGGCGTTTTACCAGCTCGTAAAAACGTGGTGCTCCTTTTGCAATGAATTGAAAATAGACGCCCATGTCAGAAAAAACGCTTTGGTGCCCATACAGGGTCATGGCAGACAAGGCTAAAAACTGGAATACTTAATAAAAAATCACAACATATACTACATGTTTTACCCACCATTTATCCATCAAATATCATTTGAAGAACACAAAGTTTGCCTCATATCCTGCCCCCTACTCTGACTCCGATTGGCAAAGGAAAGGAGTACTAACCAATCAGAGGGAGAGTTGTCGAAAGGCTGCAAGGCCAGGTCACTTGGTGTGAAAAAGCATTGAATTATCACCATTTATTCATTTTCACAAATTGAATAAACGTTTCACAAATCTGCAACTATGTTTGATTGAAACTTTAACTTCTGTGGGACTAGTCCAGATTTGAAAGCTCTAGGTATAGTGGTTTTGGTCTAATGTGGTCTGCAAGTGGAGAAAACACAGTGAAATTGCCCTTTTTTCATTTTCACAAATAAAATAAATAAAAGTTTTTTTTCAAATCTAAAAAAGTGTTTCAGGGTGAGACTCGCGCAATTGACACTTTTCACACTCCCTCACGCCATACATCAATTTTCTCACGCATTGGAAAAATGTATGTAACCTATAACTGATAGCGTCAACTCAGCGCGATTATACTCCACCCAGCTGATGCGACACCGACGGACGCTGGGACAGGAATCAAGCAAACCTGCTCTCGCGCAGTTTGTGATCGACTTACGTAGCTGGTCCAGTTTTGCAGTATAAAAATGTATAATTTGAAGTACAGCCTTGCTCTGTTGTTAATGTGAGCTGCACAGAGCTGCTGAAGTTAACGTGTGTGGATTTGTGTTTTCAGTTAGTTTTGTTTTGCACAGGTCTCATCTATAGCCTACAGTCCCAAACGGGTTCTGTGTCTGTCTTATTAAAGGCCGGGGAGATTTTGAAAAATATTGTGAATTGTTATTAAATGATGACGTTATTCTCATAGAAATCTTTCTGGAGATTTCAGATTAGACAGATATGTGGTATAGATGCAAAAAGTGTTGAACATTCAGTCCAGGAGTTTCTAACTGACTTAAAATGAATTAATTTATCCTTGAGGTGAAAAGGTGCCACACAAAGAGGAACTTCCCCAAACAAAGACACAACCAAGAGGGAAGACAAAATCATGAAAGAAAAAGAAATACAGAATTCTTGGAAGCCAGGCATACACCTACTGAACTATATTCTGGTATTTTATATTTTAAATAGTTACCTGCTGCCTGAGTTTTGTGGTTCCGTTGCCATAGCCTAGATAAAATCATTCCCTCCATAAATTGATGCAGAAATGTTCACAGAATTCAGGAAATTAAGTGTTTAATGCAAAAAATTTGAGGAAAACCTAATATAAGAAAGAAATCCAGTCTCTGGTTTTGACACATAGGCCTAGATTCTGGGGGGAACACTCCCCAGTACATGAGTAGGTTGGTCAAATTAAGGCTATCATGTCCGGAGTTTGGCAAATGTCCTGATCACACTGATCTGATTATTGACTTGGCTTTTCATCTACACCGACCTCCAATACCGAATCTCACTCCAAACTAAAGTGAGAAGTTGGCAGCCCTGAGAACTTATTCTGTAAAAGTGTTTCCATCTCTCATTTAGTGCAGTAACTCTTTTCTGACTAAGGCAACGACCTCAAGTGAGCGTAAAAACTTTGTGAAATTAAATTTTTCAAATGTTTCCTTCAAGCTTTTCTAGTGTGATATTTCAAAAGGTGCATTTAAAAACCTTGATGGAAACACAGCTTGTGTGAGTGTGTTAGCTGGAGAACAAGTAACAGTCAGCAGCACACAAAGTAAATAATGTTGAATCCTCATCATGTGTTTTCAGTGACAGAAACCCTTTAACCAGCTGATATGAAGAAAAACACTGAGACAGACTTTTCTTAACTCACATACTTTAATGAGAGAAAAGTTCTCTCATCTTCTGTCTTTATCTTCTCTCTCCTCTTAGGTGAAAAGTCTGACAGCTGAAGTCCAGAATCTCAAACAGGAGAAGCAGAGGAGTAAGGACGACAAGAAAAAGCTGCAGTATCAGCTGGATAGCAGGACAAACGAGGTTCATCTTTCACAAACCTATTTGCTTGTTTTTAGTTTTAAATCTCACAGTTGCTTTTTATTTTATCTGGTCAGAGGGAAGAGAACAGAAAAGTTGTGCTTAAATACTCAATAATTGTAATAATTAATAAACAAGTTTTAATTGTTGAATTAATTCAACATTCAATTCATTTGCACTATTTTATTTGTCATTTTATGTCGTCATGGTACTCCCCTCCCTTGTCTCTGTGCGTTATGAGAATATCCAGCAAGTCGTTACATTTTCGACTAAGTCAGAACTTATTCTGTAAAAGTGTTTCCATCTCTCATTTAGTGCAGTAACTCTTTTCTGACAACAACCACCTCAAGCGAGCGTAAAAATATTTTTGTGAAATTAAAGAAATCTTTATTTTTTATTTTGCTGTGTCCGTCAACATTTTCTAATGTTATACTTCAGAAGGCACGTAAAAAAACCTTGATGGAAACACAGCTCGTGTGTGTGTTAGCTGGAGAACAAGCAACAGTCAGCAGCACACAAAGTAAATAATCAGGGCCCGTATTTATCAAACTTCTCAAAGTGCCATTTTAGTCTTAAGTGCTCAGAATTCACGAAATTTACTCCTACTTTCAAACTTAAGTATAAAAGCAAGTTATGAATTTTTTAAAGCTGAGAGTCACTCTGACTCTCCGGGTTATTTAAGACGACTCCAGAGGTCTCTCAGGTGGTTAGGAGCTGCCAGTAGGGCTTGTGATGGCGCTGTGGAGACATGCGCAAATCTTTCAGGAGAGGAAGAATGTTTCTGAATTATTTGACGATGTTAATGGGCATGACAACTTTTTATAACAGAATCAACTCTGGACAGGTAGTTGTGATATGTCGATATGAAGGGCAGCCCTGCTAGTAGTCTGTTGTTTTCTTTTTTAAACACCAACATGTTTCTTAATCATGAAGAGATCTATTTTTTTACAGCATTTAACGGCACTTTCCTTCTGCTTTTCGCCGCCTCTGCTCTGCTTTTTCTCTTTCCATCATTCATCTGTGCATTTTTCTGCACACTGGACGGCCACGCACACTCACGCACTGAGTGATGACAGAGATCAAACCATCAACTTAAAAGCGACCGGCATGTCTGTTGGTCTACAGGTCTGAGGGACTGTGGTTGCCCTGTGACAGATTTAACTTTTATATTCTCTTTTACAAAAGTCTGGATGTGATATTTGACGTGCGCACCCTCGCGAGAGAGGTGAGAGAGTGAGACGCGCCTGTTGTGTGGATTCGCCTGCTATTAAAAATCTTGCTTTGTCATGGCTGCCGCAGATTAAGTGGATAATTAACGGCGGGCCAAACATCCCTCGGTCCGACAGTCCGTGAGTTTAATCTCCACAGCGTCTTCTTGTTTACAGTGTCGTTGGTCAGTAGCGCACAAGACAATAGGCTTCACTAATGGACCAATGAGCAAACATGTGCAGGTAGTACTCATGGGAGTTGGAGTGTCATAGTGTCACATAGCAATTCGTTCGTTATTATTGTTAATGTTAAACCCTGATTATGTCACTTACAGCTTCACTCATTGTCACACGTTTCATCGTCTTCCCAACAACACCCCCTGTAATCTGACAGATGGTTCATGCAAATAAATTCACAGGAGTAGAAGGTGCATTTGATGGCGCTCATATAAAGATCAACTTTCTTTAATTTATTAATGTGTATTATTATCTTGAAAATTCTTTATTGTTAAATGTGTGTTGAATATAAACTCCTCTCAGGATTTTCACCTTTCAACGTGAATTTATCTGAGAATATTCTCCAATAAGGAAATCTCTTCAGTGATTGGTCCTTGGCAAAAAAGTCATCCAAAATTTTGTTTGCGGCACAGCAAAGTGTCGAGAATCAACTCTGAGACTGATACACTCAAATTAGGACTGAGATGCTTGATAACTAACTTTTAAATGCAGCTTTGAGCCAAGAATGTTTTTACTCTTAAGTCAGTTCTTAGCAGCGTTTTTATGAGTAAATCTGAGAAGCTTGATAAATGCGAGCCCTGGAATCCTCATCATGTGTTTTCACTGACAGAAACCCTTTAACCAGCTGAGATGAAGAAAAACACTGAGACAGACTTTTCTTAACTCACATACTTTAATAAGAGAAAAGTTCTCTCATCTTCTGTCTTTATCTTCTCTCTCCTCTTAGGTGGAAAGTCTGACAGCTGAAGTCCAGAAGCTCCAACAGGAGAAGCAGAGGAGTGAGGACGAGCCGAAAAATCAGCTGGATACCAGGACAAAAGAGGTTCATCTTTCATTGATATTGATTTGTTTCCCCAAACCTATTTGTTTGTTTTTAGTTTTAAATCTCACAACTTCGCCTTAATTTTTATTTATTTAAACACCGTCTTCTAAGATGAGAGAAAAACATCCACTGACTTTTCTTTTAGGTTTTCTTACTGAATTATACACTTCTTTCTACTCGCTATTTAAGCTTCATTTTACTTTGAGTTTATTAACGTGGTAAACAACAAAAATAACAGAAACAGTTATAACCTGTGAATTACTCTTACATCAAACAAGATGTGTCAGGGTGGGTTTGCTGGGGCGATGGGGTCTGGACCCAAACACAGATGAAACCGGCAGACTGATGCTGTTTAATGATTTATTGCAAATATTAGCTGACATGCATGAAGGTGGAAGCTCTGAGGAGTTAATGGAAAGAACATGTCCTGATAGAGAGGAGTCATGCAGAGGGCTCGGGAGGAAAGTTTGAAGAGAGGGACTGAAGAGCAAACTGTCACAAGATGTGAAGCCTTTGATCCACCACATATACAAAAAAACTTCTGGTTATCTCGGGCTTATTCTTCACAACACTGATATGCTTATGCTTTCAGTTACTAGTGACTTCATTTACACCAGATCAACCAACAGAAAATAATAATAATAATAATTGTCTCCCTGACTGACTGCCAGGTGTTCATGAAAACTCTCATCAAGACAGCTCAGACATCATTCTGAATCAGTTTTACTTGTTGTTATTTCAATAAAAGTCTGTAATTATAACCAGAGAAGCAGTATCAGAGTAAAAGTACTCAGTGCAGTAAAGTGTCCCCACTGACTGTTTTTGCTATTAATTGCAAAGTGAACCATTTTCTTTCCTTTTAAATATATATTTTTATATTATAAGGTATAGTTTAAAATTTAAAATTAAATTCCTTGAATGCCTAAACGTCATTCACAAACTATACTATCCGACACATTGACGTTCTTTATGTTTAGAGTCTGTTTGAGGTCAAAGTCCCTGTTGGACGTTTCTTATAATAAATGTTATAAAACTCCAAATTAGAGAAATTGGAACAGACTTATTTGGGTTTTAGGAGGAGCTGCTGAAACATGCTTCCATCATTCACAGATAAAGAGCAGATCATTGTATTTATTCAGGCTTTACAGCAAAAGTAATGTGTCATTTTCAGTAGACTACTGAAACATGTCATATTTTGAAACAGAAACACCACTGTACTGAGTGTTGCTGGTGTAACAGATCAATCACATTTCCTCTTATGTTAAAATGCTTTACCGTCATTAAACTTTCCCGAGAAGAGTAGCCTTCTGCCAGGGTCAGTGAGGAAGCACAGGAGGAGCCACCAGCGGTTTCATCTGCTCTTTGGACACAACAGTTGCCTGTGTTTTCATATCACTGTAAATGGACTTAATTTTCTTTTTGACAGCATCAGTGCTCTGCTGCATGCTGGATCTGCGGGAGAGATCTGTCCGCTCTCTCTTTAATCTCCCCAGTTAAGCGTTATGTGGATTTCTCGATAGAGGTTACAAACACCTACAAACAAGTTCTATGATAGTTGTTGTTTCTGCTCCATTTTCAGTTTATGTTTCATTTAAAAAACAACCAAAAAACAGCTGGTCATTTTTCTGCACACTGGACGGCCACGCACACTCACGCACTGAGTGATGACAGAGATCAAACCATCAACTTAAAAGCGACCGGCATGTCTGTTGGTCTACAGGTCTGAGGGACTGTGGTTGCCCTGTGACAGATTTAACTTTTATATTCTCTTTTACAAAAGTCTGGATGTCATATTTGACATGCGCACCCTCGCGAGAGAGGTGACAGAGTGACAGAGTGAGACGCGCCTGTTGTGTGGATTCGCCTGCTATTAAAAAGCTTGCTTTGTCATGGCTGCCGCAGATTAAGTGGATGATTAACGGCGGGCCAAACATCCCTCGGTCCGACAGTCCGTGAGTTTAATCTCCACAGCGTCTTCTTGTTTACAGTGTCGTTGGTCAGTAGCGCACAAGACAATAGGCTTCACTAATGGACCAATGAGCAAACATGTGCAGGTAGTACTCATGGGAGTTGGAGTGTCATAGTGTCACATTGCAATTCGTTTGTTATTTCAGTCTTTTGACAAGACTACAATTTTTCAACACGCCAAAGGGGCTAGTGGGAGTGACTGTGTTACCCGTCACGGCCGAAATCCACCCGCATTTGGCGGTTGTTAATGTTAAACCCTGATTATGTCACTTACAGCTTCACTCATTGTCACATGTTTCATCGTCTTCCCAACAACACCCCCTGTAATCTGACAGATGGTTCATGCAAATAGCGGCTTCACAGGAGTAGAAGGTGCATTTGATGGCGCTCATATAAAGATCAACTTTCTTTAATTTATTAATGTGTATATCATAATGTATTATCTTGAAAATTCTTTATTGTTAAATGTGTGTGAATATAAACTCCTCTCAGGATTTTCACCATTCAACGTGAATTTATCTGAGAATATTCTCCAATAAGGAAATCTCTTCAGTGATTGGTCCTTGGCTACATTGTCATCCAAAATTCTGTTTGCGGCAGAGCAAAGTGTCGTGAATCATCACTGAGACTGATACTTAAGATTTAATCCTACACTTCACTCAAATTAGGACTATGATGCCTGATAACTAACTTTTAAATGCAGCTTTGAGCCAAGAATGTTTTTACTCTTAAGTCAGTTCTTAGCAGCGTTTTTATGAGTAAATCTGAGAAGCTTGATAAATACGAGCCCTGGAATCCTCATCATGTGTTTTCACTGACAGAAACCAGCTGATATGAAGAAAAACACTGAGACAGACTTTTCTTAACTCACATACTTTAATAAGAGAAAAGTTCTCTCATCTTCTGTCTTTATCTTCTCTCTCCTCTTAGGTGGAAAGTCTGACAGCTGAAGTCCAGAATCTCAAACAGGAGAAGCAGAGGAGTGAGAACGAGCTGAAAAACAAGCTAGAGACTGAGAAAAATGAGGTTCATCTTTCATTGATATTGATTTGTTTCTACAAACCTTTGTTTGTTTTTAGTTTTAAATCTCACAGTTGGTGTTTTATTTTATCTGGTCAGAGGGAAGAGAACAGAAAAGGTGTGCTTAAATACTCAATAATTGTTATAATTAATAAACAAGTTTTAATTGTTTATTAATTCAACATTCATTTGCACAATTTTATTTGTCACTTTATGTCGTCATGGTACTCCCCTCCCTTGTCTCTGTGTGTTATGAGAATATCCAGCAAAGTCGTGAGTTACATTTTCACTACGTCAGAACTTATTCTGTAAAAGTGTTTCCATCTCTCATTTAGTGCAGCAACTCTTTTCTGACAACAACCACCTCAAGTGAGCGTAAAAACTTTTTTTGCGAAATTAAGTTTTTTCAGATTTTGCTGTGTCCATCAACCTTTTCTAATGTGATACTTTACAAGGCAGATATTAAAACCTTGATGGAAACACAGCTTGTGTGTGTGTGTTAGCTGGAGAACAAGCAACAGTCAGCAGCACACAAAGTAAATAATGTTGAGTCCTCATCATGTGTTTTCAGTGACAGAAACCCTTTAACCAGCTGATATGAAGAAAAACACTGAGAAGAGAGAAAAGTTCTCTGATCTTCTGTCTTTATCTTCTCTCTCCTCTTAGGTGGAAAGTCTGACAGCTGAAGTCCAGAAGCTCCAACAGGAGAAGCAGAGGAGTGAGGACGAGCCGAAAAATCAGCTGGATACCAGGACAAACGAGGTTCATCTTTTATTGATATTGATTTGTTTCCACAAACCTATTTGTTTGTTTTTAGTTTTAAATCTCACAACTTCACTTTGATTTTTCTGTATTTATTTAAACACCGTCTTCTAAGATGAGAGAAAAACATCCACTGACTTTTCTTTTAGGTTTTCTTACTGAATTATACACTTCTTTCTACTCGCTATTTAAGCTTCATTTTACTTTTAGTTTATTAACGTGGTAAACAACAAAAATAACAGAAACAGTTATAACCTGTGAATTACTCTTACATCAAACAAGATGTGTCAGGGTGGGTTTGCTGGGGCGATGGGGTCTGGACCCAAACACAGATGAAACCGGCAGACTGATGCTGTTTAATGATTTATTGCAAATATTAGCTGACATGCATGAAGGTGGCAACTCTGAGGAGTTAATGGAAAGAACATGTCCTGATAGAGAGCAGTCATGCAGAGGGCTCGGGAGGAAAGTTTGTGGCTGAAGAGGGACTGAAGAGCAAACTGTCACAAGATGTGAAGCCTTTGATCCACCACATATACAAAAAACTTCTGGTTTTCTCGGGCTTATTCTTCACAACACTGATATGCTTATGCTTTCAGTTACTAGTAACTTCATTTACACCAGATCAACCAACAGAAAATAATTGTCTCCCTGACTGACTGTCAGGTGTTCATCTCTCTCTCTCATCAAGACAGCTCAGACATCATTCTGAATCAGTTATTTTTTAATTTTTGAAATTATAACCAGAGAAGCAGTATCAGAGTAAAAGTACTCAGTGCAGTAAAGTGTCCCCACTGATTGTTTTGCTATTAATTGCAAAGTGAACCATTTTCTTTCCTTTTAAAATATATATTTTTATATTATAAGGTATAGTTTAAAATTTAAAATTAAATTCCTTCCAATGCCTAAACGTCATTCACAAACTATACTATCCGACACATTGACGTTCTTTATGTTTAGAGTCTGTTTGAGGTCAAACTCCCTGTTGGACGTTCTCTTATAATAAATGTTATAAAACCAAATTAGAGAAATTCAAACAGACTTATTTGGGTTTTAGGAGGAGCTGCTGAAACATGCTTCCATCATTCACAGATAAAGAGCAGATCATTGTATTTATTCAGGTTTTACAGCAAAAGTAATGTGTCATTTTCAGTAGACTACTGAAACATGTCATATTTTGAAACAGAAACACCACTGTACTGAGTGTTGCTGGTGTAACAGATCAATCACATTTCCTCTCATGTTAAAATGCTTTACCGTCATTAAACTTTCCCGAGAAGAGTAGCCTTCTGCCAGGGTCAGTGAGGAAGCACAGGAGGAGCCACCAGCGGTTTCATCTGCTCTTTGGACACAACAGTTGCCTGTGTTTTCATATCACTGTAAATGGACTTAATTTTCTTTTTGACAGCATCAGTGCTCTGCTGGATGCTGGATCTGCGGGAGAGATCTGTCCGCTCTCTCTTTAATCTCCCCAGTTAAGCGTTATGTGGATTTCTCGATAGAGGTTACAAACACCTCTAAGTCATCTGACTTGAAGTTCTATGATAGTTGTTGTTTCTGCTCCATTTTCAGTTTATGTTTCATTTAAAAAACAATCAAAAAACAGCGATTAAAAGCCGTTTAGCTGGGCGAGATGAGAAAAGTGTCATTGGTTGCTAGGTAGCAGACATAAAAATTGATAACCGATGTTGGATTGAGTATTTAGGATTTTAAGATAGGATTCCTAAAGTTAGTTAGGATTTGCTTCTGTAACACCAAATTGAGAAAAATCCTATCTTAGACCCGTCTTATCTGAACTTAAGACTTCTGTAATACGGCCTCTCTGTCAGACTGTCACTTCCTGCAGTAAAACACTGCTGAAAGATCAACATCAGTGTGTGTGTGTGTGTGTGTGTGTGTGTGTGTGTGTGTGTAATAATGAGCATACAGCATTATTACACCTAATAATGTTTTGTATGTGTTTTATATAATAAAAGGTCTACTCATGAACTAACCTATATTTCTCTGATTGCCTAAAAGTGATTCTGGTTTTTATTTTCTTATAACATGTTGGATTCATCAGTTAGTAGTGTGCTGGTTTTTCCACCTGAGTAATCCCTCTCCAGTATATTTATAGTCTAAAGTTCTCAGAGTAAACAGATTAAACCTGGGCAAAACTGTGTGCACATTAAAAGGTAATAAATCACAACCTCCAGCCAATCAGGAATGAGTTTCCATCCAGTCCAGAATATTGTGTACACTAAATAAAACAAATTGTCTCTAATCTTGGGGACCAGAAGAAAGGAAGCTAAAGAAGAAGTGAAGAAGCTAAAGGAGGAGCTGCATGTTTTTTAACCTGAAGTTTTGTTATTAATTGTTATTCAATTATTGTTTCACTTTCTTTTAATGTTCTTCACAAATTATTAATCTGAAATCAAGAGAAGTCGAACTACATAAGAGCAAATCAGAGACACCAAATAACTGGCAAATAAAAATATGACACACACACACACACAGGGATATAAGCAGCATATCAAAAAGCTACTTTGTTGATTATTCTTGAATGATTAATCTGTGTGTGTTGTCTCCCTGAACAGGGCGGTACCAGCTCAGCCAGTCAGAGCTCGAAAGGACATGTCATCAAGGTTGAGGTCGAGCAATGGAAAAATTGTATCCGTCTCAAAAACACATCCAGTGAGGTAATGGTGTTTGTGTGTGGATGAACACTGTGTGAGTGATATATGTGTGTACAATACGTATAGCATTGAGTTATCCAAGAGTAAACCGGAATATTCCAATATCAATATTTATCAATATCAAAGCTAATGAACTGTTATTTTACCCAGAATGCATTTTGTCAACACAACTGATTTAACTCATGCTGTAACGTTCATTTTTTAGTCTCTTTCTCCAATCTTACCTCTCATGGCCAATTTCCCTCCTGTAGGACCAAGAACTGGGAGACTGGACGTTAAAAGTACAAATCACTGACAAAGAACCCATCTCATACACATTTGAGAAACCATTCAAACTCAGTCCTGGAAAAACTCTCACTGTGAGTCTTTATTTGTTTCTCAATTTATGTTGTTGTGTCATCGTCATTCTTTCTTCCTTCTGCCTCAATTGTTCAATTTCTAATTAAACTAAAAGAAAATTATATGGAAATAATAATAATAAATTGTAACTTTGATTATTTAATGGGTTTAAAAATTCTGCTGTAAGTCTGTGGTCTTTGCATTTTACAGGTGGGGGGCCCAAATTATATTAGTTATAATAAAACTGACCAGGTGTGGGAGGACCTGAAGCCCTGGAGCAATGGAGACAACCTGCAGGTCTTCCTCATCAGCAACTCTGGAGAGATCCAACATATCTCAGTTCATAGCGAATGAAAGACAATAATGAGCCCGCTGTCACACTATTTTTATCTTAATTTACCTTTTTGCTCCTTTTAACTACAAAAATCTCCCCATTTAGCTTCTTTTATCACCAACATGAAAGGACCGTGATAAAAAGTTACCATCACACCAAAATGCTGAACAGTAAATAGTGCTGTAATCCAGCAAACCTGAAAACACTGAACATTAAACATCAGGAACAGCACGACTCAGATCTTCCTGTGAAAACACATGTTGTAGTGACGTCCAGTGAACACAAGGTCACATCACGTCCGGATCTGGAATCAACAAAATGAGACCTTTTTATTAAGGTTGAATCAAACTTTATTAAATTTCTCTTCTTTATCTTCAACAATTGAAAACATGTTTTATCTGAAAACTGAACTGCTATAAAGACAAAGAGTAAAATAAATTAAACTCTAAATCAAAATGTGAGCTAATGTAACTCAGGAACTTTGAGTATTTTTGCTGGATTGAATATTTTTGAAAATGTTTTATCCTTTTACAGTAATTACTGTATGTCACAGTTATCTTCTGGATGGAGTTTCCAGCCCATTGATTTTATAAATCCTCAGACTTTACATTTCATTTTTATTTTGTTATTCTCTGTTTTGTAGGAATTCAATGTATATAAGTATGTATAACAATTTGTTCTTGTCTGCTCTGAGTTCTGATCCTTGTTTTAGTCTAACAAACTTTTGTTAACTGAAATTACAAAATATTTTTGTCGTATTTGTTTATTTGACTTTAAAATATGTACATAAATTATTACCTTGCTTTTTAGTTAAACAGTGGCAGCAGCTGCAGGAATTGAACATTATTTACAATTGTAAATTGCACCTTTTTAAGGAATGCTGATCATAAATCTCAGTGAATCTAAGAATTCAGAAACCATGTTGAATGTGAGGTTCACCTTTACAAAGAAAATAATAATATTCACAAAGTACACAGATAACAGGTCACCTGGTATACTTTAACACCAGGTTTCTTGGCCAAATATTATTTGATGGCAGGAACAAGAAGAATTATTTGGTTGGAAAATTGACACAGAAAATTAAAGGTAATGTTAAACACTCGCTGATGTCTTCATATTTAATATTAAGTAAATGCAAACAAATCTGATGTGTGAGTCTTTAACTTGATTTAGCAGAGCTGAGTATTTGGCACAGAAACATGTAGTTTAGATAGACATAATGATCCGTCATGAAACAAACAAACAACACCAAGAATACAGCAGCAGTCCTGAACCTGTTTGGCTTTTTACCCTTTAAATTGAAGCAAATTCATGTTGTGACCCTGAATAAGCAGCTCAATAAGTTCACCAGCAGTGACCATTCAACCAACAACTTAGTTCAATAAGTTCTTTGTGTATTGAGCTCAAGCCAGCGAGTGTTTGATATGAATGAATCTCTCAGCTGGAGATCTTTAAGCTACACATTTTTCTCATATACTGAGCTTTTGTTTTGTTAATCAAAATTAAATTAAGAAAATTCAATGCACAACTTGTATTGAAAATTTGCTGATTTAACTCTCAAAATACTTACGAAATACTTAATACTTGTCAAAATACTTGATATGAAAACTGTTGAGAGTCTTGAGGTAAAATGATCCAGTACTTCACATGAA